TGTGTGTGTGTGTGTGTGTGTCATGTGCTGTGTCATGTGTGTCATGTGCGTGTGTCATGTGCTTGTGTCATGTGCGTGTGTCATGTGCGTGTGTCATGTGTGTGTGTCATGTGTGTGTCATGTGCGTGTGTCATGTGCGTGTGTCAGGTGTGTGTGTCATGTGCGTGTGTCATGTGCTTGTGTCATGTGCATGTGTCAGGTGTGTGTGTCATGTGCATGTGTCATGTGTGTGTGTCAGGTGTGTGTGCCATGTGCGTGTGTCATGTGCGTGTGTCATGTGCGTGTGACAGGTGTGTGTGTCATGTGCATGTGTCATGTGTGTGTGTCATGTGTGTGTGTCATGTGTGTGTGTCATGTGCGTGTGTCATGTGCGTGTGTCATGTATGTGTGTCATGCACGTGTGTCATGTGTGTGTGTGTCATGTGCGTGTGCCCATGAAGGTGGCCTTGGATGACATGTCCCAAGGGAGCGTGAGGCTTCATATAAGAGTCACATTAACACGTCTCTTAGTTGACGGTGGAAAATATTGCACCAGACTTAAGACTGACAGAGGAAACCAAATAACAGTTATGTGTACAGTGGGTGGCAGGGGGCACTGGAGGGCGACTATCTGTGGGTGGCGGCGCGTTCCAATGGGTGGTAGCGAGCACCATGGGGGATGGGTGGCGGGGCAGGCCAGGTGTGGTCACGTCATTACTCTTAATTAATAGTGAAATACCTGTCCCAGGTGAATGGTAACTGATTTATGGAAACCTCATATTGACAGACCAGTGGTGGCTGGGGAAGCCACTACCATCACCAACATCCTCAGCCACCAACATCCTCAGCCACTACCATCACCAACATCCTCAGTCACTACCATCACCAACATCCTCAGCCACCACCATCACCAACATCCTCAGCCACCACCATCACCAACACCCTCAGCCACTACCATCACCAACATCCTCAGCCACCAACATCCTCAGCCACTACCATCACCAACATCCTCAGTCACTACCATCACCAACATCCTCAGCCACCACCATCACCAACATCCTCAGCCACCACCATCACCAACACCCTCAGCCACTACCATCATCAACATCCTCAGTCACTACCATCACCATCCTCAGCCACCACATCCTCAGCCACTCACCAACATCCTCAGCCAACATCCTCACTCCTCAGCCACCACCATCACCAGCCACTATCACTCCTCAGCCACCACCATCACCAACATCCTCAGCCACTACCATCACCAACATCCTCAGCCACTACCATCACCAACATCCTCAGCCACCACCATCACCAACATCCTCAGCCACTACCATCACCAACATCCTCAGCCACTACCATCACCAACATCCTCAGCCACCACCATCACCAACATCCTCAGCCACGCCATCACCAACATCCTCAGCCACCACCATCACCAACATCCTCAGCCACTACCATCACCAACATCCTCAGCCACCACCATCACCAACATCCTCAGCCACTACCATCACCAACATCCTCAGCCACTACCATCACCAACATCCTCAGCCACCACCATCACCAACATCCTCAGCCACCACCATCACCAACATCCTCAGCCACGTTTTCCCCTCAGCGTGTGTGTGAGCAAGTCTGTGTGCGTGGACCACCTGTGATCTTTTTCAGATTACGGTGGTACACACTGGGAATTAAGGTGCAGGATTCTCACAGGGTGGTGCTGAATATTTGGTGTTCTTCCTAACACTATCACATGGAGGATTACCTTAACCGATAGGTCAACAACTGCAACTATGTTGCCTGTATAACACGTGAACTAACGTGTGTAGGTGCCCGCGAGGCAAGGCCTTATACCCTTGTGGTCACGCTCGGCCATGTGGTGAGGGTTTGCATTAACAAACCCCCGTCCTCATAGTGTGCCAAGCTGGATAGTTCTTTTGAAACTAAAATTGACTTTGATACTGTATCTAACCAGAAAAACAGAGATACTATTAAGAACAATTGTAAAGTAATAAAAGTGTTTATAAACTGAGAATACTCCTGCTAACTTGGTCCCACTGACACCACACTCCCTCCGCTCGCGGGAGGCCCGTTCACGGCCTCCCCTCACACCGCTAATACGCTGTAGATGCCATTTTCCTTTGTCCTCTAAGAGGGTTACGCCTCCCAACCTCCGCTGACTTCCTAGGAGTGCCAAGCAGTCCTCGGCCCTCTGACGTAGGCATATAGGTCGAGTCCTGTAACTCCACCATGTCTGAGTTGACTGGAGACCCAGCTACTCGCTTTAACTCTCCTGATGCACTGAGTGAGCCAGGTGACTATGGTGTTGACCTTGACACCAACGGAGAGGATGACTTTCAACTAGTTCAGTCCAGGAACAAGCGGAAGGCCGAAAAGGCAGAAAAACTTAGAGACCATCAACTGCAACCTCAACCCCCCATGAGAGTAAGATTAAACTTCCCTGTAGGTACACCACCTGAAGTCAAGTATATCTGGCTGAACGATGCGGAAGATAAACACCCAGACGCTGAGTTTCAGTTCAGAGTCGGTACACAAGATCATGTTCAGATTAGAAGCGACAGTCATTGCAGACTGAGTAGGCTCGGTGGACCCACCCAAGACCATTCGAGTCCGTGGTGCCTATCAGACTCTGAAGGTAACTCTCTATCAGCCCCCTACCCGGAGGTATTACAATCGTCAGCACTGGGGCTATGTGGCCCGATTATGCCCCTCGACTAAGCCGTGGTTTGGTCTCTGCTCAAGACAACATGCAACACAGGCTTGCAGAGATATAGTTGCTCAAGGGGGTGTCATTCAACAGAAGTGTATTAACTGCAAAACAGTTGGAGTTCCTGTATGGCACCCTGACTGTCCTAGAGCCCAGACCCGCCACCCAGGCAGATCTCAAGAAACACTACTGCTGCTAGGGTACTCCCTACGGCCAACCCCTGGCCCACCATCCACACCAAAGCTCCAGGATCATCACCAGCAGTCATCGAAAGATCAGCATGAGGCAACACAGACGTACCGACACAACAGGTAGCTGCCAACACACCCCATGAACACGCACAATGTGAAGAGATCAATGATATGAAAAATTAAATTAAAGAACTCAAAGCTCAATTTACAGCTCACACTGATATGTTAAGGAGCCTCTGTGATACACTACAGAAAAGGAACACCACCAACACAATGCAGCAGCTATGGAAAGATTACAGTCAAACTGAAGATATTCAGATGTCAGTACCAGATGTGGAAACTCAAGACCCACCAGAAACTAGTGTCCACGCAGATGAAAATAGTGATACTGGTAACAGTTCTACTGATGCCTCTGTGGACATGGTCAGTGAAGATGAACAAACACAAACAGAAAATGGTGGTGATGTCGAGTGTAACCAAAGTGTGTTGTTGTCTGCCACTGACATACAACAATTGTTGAGCAGTACATGCTCTAGAAATGTTTCAAAAACGTTATGTGGCCTACTGCCTGCCGAAGGGACAAGCAGCGCAGAAAAGAACAGTATCATACAGTGCCTTTTGCTTCTTTCCAAATACAGTTCATAATGGCCAGTATTAATACCAGACAAAGATACAGAGCTGTGAAGGTGATGAGTTGGAACATCTCATCCCTTAGAAAACGATACCCTGACCTACACCACAAATTTGTGACTGAGGACATCGATATTGTGTGTCTGCAGGAGTGTCTCACACCTAATGGTAAGCCCCCACCCAGTCTGCCCAATTATGTGTACTGTATTATGGTCCTAGTTCTACTCACACATGTTTGATGTATGTTAAGAAGTCACTCCCGCATGTACCTCTTGTATTCAAAAAGACTACCAACCTTCAGTACCATGGGATCACTCCTGGGCAACTCCACACTCAATGTGCTAAACGCCTATGCTCCCTCAGATCAGCTTCAGTACACAGATCTCCCAGACTTTTTACACACTGAGCCCACTGTCCTGATGGGTGACCTGAATACTAGACACAAGAAATTAGGTGACTCAACTTCTAACACCAATGGTAGGAGACTTATCTCACTTCTCAGCGCATATGAAGATGTTCAAATTATAGGAAATAATGAACCAACACACATCTATGGCGGGGGTCTACACAAGTGTGTTGGTTTTAATCTTTCATACACAACTCATAGCTCTGATGTTGTCACTGATCTTATGTCTGACCACAGCCCAATCCAAGCTAGTATACATGTTGCCAATGACACCCCCACTGGTGGTAAGCTCAACAGACGTAGAATCACAGTCAAGCAAGAACATGAAAGCCAGTTCATAGATTTCATCCATGACTGGTACAAGGACCACAAGCCTGACAACTACCAAAGTTTCCATGACGATCTGATAGATAGGACTTATGCATACTTCACCAACAATGATTCCACCAAAAAAAGGAGAAAACGTGGTCAGCATAATGGGAACAGGCAACAGCAGTGCTATAATGACCCTCAGCTGAAAAAACTTAGGGCTAGAGTCAGGATGGTGGGTAAGGGTTACAAACAAATTAGAACACCTCAAATGTTGCACTTGTATCAAGCTTCCCTTGCTGCTGTCAGGGAACGTGTAAACCAGGGGTGGGCAAGATACGGCCCGCGGGCCAAATGTGGCCCGCCAGTTTATTTTGGTGGCCCGCCACTGCATGTGGGTAAAGATATATATATATATATATATATAAAAAATTTAAATCTTAGAAAGGATCATTATTATGTGAGAGTTGGCCACCCTGTTGTGAATACTTCAAATATGGTTACCTATAAGGATTAGGATTTGGGATTAGGCAAATGGAGGTCAGTGAACCCTTACCCGAGAGACCCATAATTCTTGACCATTTGACCAGGACGGCCACGCCCACGCCTCAATATTGTTTCCCACGCTGACCTCACCGTCCAGCACCAATACTAGAAAAGCTCAGTCTCCTCTCTGCTTCTCACTTAAGAGGACATTAGTGTGGTTTTGCTGAATTTGTACTTATGTGTTGTTGCCCCAACCCATAATTTTAAAGTGGAAATGAGTGAATCTAAGAAGAGGAAAGTTGAAGCAGAGCATCGAACATTCAACAAGGAATGGACTTCTAAATATTTTTTTACCAACGTGGATGAAAAAGCAGTGTGTTTAATTTGCAGAGAAAGTGTGGCAATGCTAAAGAATTACAACTTAAAGCGCCACTTTGAGACCAAGCACTCCAGTAAATATGAAAAATTTTCTGATGAACAAAAGAGGAAGAAAGCTAACGAGATGGTTGTTCAATTACAACAACAGAAAAATATTTTCAGAAAACAATTTGCATCCAAGGATGATATTACAAAAGTGAGTTATGTGATTGCTCACAAGATTGCCAAAAACAGCAAGCCATTCTCTGAAGGAGAATTTATAAAGGAATGTATGATTGATTCTGCCTCTATTTTATGTCCAGACAAGAAAAACCAATTTGAGAATGTATGTTTGTCAAGGCGAACAATTGTAAGACGTGTTGAGAACATTGCTGAGAGCATGTATCTGCAGTTTAAAGAGAAAGTAAGGACTTTTGAATACTATTCACTGGCACTTGATGAAAGTTGTCATGTCAGAGACACAGCACAGTTGTTAATTTTCATTCGAGGCATCACCAAATATTTTGAGATCACAGAAGAAATGGTATCAATGCAGTCACTGAAAGGAACAACAACTGGAGAAGATTTATTGGAGGCAGTAAATAATTGTCTTTTGAAATTAGGAGTAGAATGGAACAAACTGGTAAATGTGACCACCGATGGAGGGCCAAATATGACAGGTAAAAATGTTGGATTGCTAAAAAGAATTCAAGATCAAGTCAGAGAAACAAATGCAGAACAAAATATTGTCTTTTCGCACTGCATTATTCATCAAGAAGTCCTTTGTAAGAGTGTTTTAAATTTAAGCCATGTCGTTGACACAGTTGTGAAAGTGGTTAATTACATTCGAGCAAGAGGATTAAATCACAGGCAGTTTATAACCCTGCTTGAAGACTTGGAATCTGATCATACGGATGTTCTGTATCACACAAATGTGAGGTGGCTTAGTTTGGGAAAAATCCTGAAAAGAGTTTGGGAATTGAAAGAAGAGAGTGGCTTATTTTTGGACATGAAACAGAATGCTATAGATTTCCCACAGTTGAATGATGAGAAATGGCTCTCTGATTTTGCATTTGCTGTTGATATCATGGGTCATATGAATGACCTGAATTCAAAGCTACAAGGGAAGGGGGCTTTTGCACATGATTTGTACAGCAGTGTCAAAACTTTCATGAAGAAATAACTTCTTTTGTCTCGTCAGATTACGAAAAAACAATTTGCTCACTTTGCAACCTTACAACAGATTGAAGTTTGTGATCAAAATGTAC